CCGCAGGCAGTTCGGACCCAAAGACCAGGATGAGGTTAAGATAATTGAGCATCAGACGCAGTATCTGAGGCTGATGCCCCACCTGGCCACCTCCCTCGCCCTCACCTTCACCACCAGGTCAGTCTGACCGCCAGTTTGACAGCCCCCGCAGGGTGAGGTCTCTCTGATCACTGCTCCTCCTGTCTGACTGAAATAGAAGATTCCCAGCTTTAGCCCCTCGTCACAGTCGCAGCACAATTTAACTGTCATTATTTAACCCATTAATTACCTGAATGGCAATTCAGTGTTACCTTAATTTTAGTCTCCAGTTTGAGAGGCTCAAATGCACCGCATTCAGTAATACAGCTTAAAGAGCCCATATCCTGCATTTTTCTTGTATTTTATTTTTTCTTCAAAGAATTAATCGATTTAATCTGTATTTAAACTCACAGTACAGTGAGGGAAACCTTCATTTACAGTATAGCTGAGCCAATACAGAAATCAGGGCTTGGAAATATTAGACTGTAAAAACATCAAATGCTAAAAAAAGCAATTTTTTGTAAATAAATTTAACAGTATAAAAAAAATTCAAAATAAAGTGTGAAAATCGCAACAAAACTAAATAAATAACAGATTAAATATGGATAAAATAAATAAAAAAACAAGTTAATGGAATAAATAAAAGAATATAAGATTTCAAACAATAAGTCCATTTCTAAAGTTTGTGTGGTTTTATATACCAAAAACAGTCATGCTTTGTATTTATATGACCATTTTAATTTTTCATCCTCTCTTTATCCCTCAGAACTGAACAGGCTGTTTCTGTTACTGTGCCTTTAAGACTGATATATGTAAATGAGCTCTGTTCTGATTGGGTGCCCTGTACTGCACCTCATTCAAAAGGCAGTCCAGGCTGAAACTCTCCTTATATGTTCAGCTGAACTGCTGTAGGCCTAGTTTTTAAATGTGTTTGCTTTTGTGACATCATGATCCAAGAGGACAGAAAATCAATAAATGATTTTCCGGCCTAATGCTACTCATTTATTTTTACTCAGTAATAAACAATAGAGTGAACCACAGTCAACATTATTGTGTTTTTACTTCACAAACACTGTAGTTTAGCAATTTCTCAAAAGGTACTTGAGCTGACAAGTGCTTTAAAAGCCTGTATAGGCAAAAATGAAAATAAAATAGCAGGCGCAAATTGAATTTTTGATCAAAAAATGACCAAATTTATAAAGATATCAAATTTTCAATTCAATTCAATTTTGTTAACATTTGACTTTCAAATAATGACCATATCTGAGTAGCCTGACCACATGTGACACGTGTGACTGTGTCATATAAAAATGACCTTAGGGTTGTAGGAGTTAATGGTTGTTTTGACAAGAAATTTAGTGAATTTACCCTGATAGTGTGAGGATTGTGGGCCGCTGTTGGTCCGCTGATGACAAAGCCATTGGTCCACTGGCATTTTGCTCATTGTTTTCTGGGCGGCCCATCGGTCTTTACGCAGAGAATTAGACAAAATTCCACTGATCATCGCTTATTTTCCACTCACAGCTCAATTTACTGATTTTTCCTTCCTTCCTTTCTTTACTTTATAAATTAGTTTTGTAAAAAACTTTAATCCAGCTCAGTGTCGGCAACAACATCTCTATAGAATCATTTCATATCAGGCCTGGTCATTATTTTATTACTCTGGGTTGTTTGTAATATTTTTCTTAGATTATTTTCCAAAATAAAAGGCTCTGTGCGTTTGAAATCTGTTTGAGGAGGTTAAAAACTAGTTAGATCTTGTCTGCAGGACAGTAATCTGGGTGGTCCGAGGGTGGACCAGCAGTGGCAAACAGTCAGCGGGGTGCCGACCTAATCAAGCCAGCAGACCGATATATGCTGCTATCTGGGTAGTAAGAACGGCCTCTGACTTTCGTACAGTACTGTGAGTGTAGATTTTATGTACTATTAGGTAGACAGAGATAGATATTGATAGATTATACATATGCATAAGTTTAAAAAAAATAGATATAAATACAGATATAAAGGTAGGTAGTATATATAGATAGGCACAGGCACTCCTGTCCATCACCACTTGATGTCTCTCTGTATGTAATGTAATTAATGGAGAAGCTTTATTAAAATCAAACACAGTTAGCCTATAAATGGATGTTGTGAAGAATAAGAGGCTGTCGTTCCCTGTTAGCTGAGCTTTATTGAAGGATGTACACATGCCACACAGTACTCTTTCTGAGAATTACCACAGACCCAGAGAAAGAGAGAGAGAGAGAGAGAGAGAGAGAGAGAGAGAGAGAGAGAGAGAGAGGAAAAGAGAGTTCAGCTGCGGCTTCGCAGAAAACTGCACTCTTCATGGTTATTTATAAAGCCTCAACACTGCTGCCATGGCATCTGATTCTCAGTATTATCACTTATCACTAGAGAGAGAGAGAGGCAGGGGTAGATGCGACCACAGGAACAAGCCCGTTATCTTCAGCTTTTATTTATGTTTTTCATGATAAGATTGTTTCAGCTTGAAACAGAAAGGTAGAAGCCTTCGTTTTTCAGCACGATCAGCTCTCTAACAGCTTAACCTGCTTTCTTAAAGGGGAATTCCACTGTTATTTTTCAAAATTTCTACATTTTTGGTTCAGATGTCTTCACAGTGGTGGTGATAGGAACCAGGGGTCGCCATGACTACAACACAGATATAGACGTTTTATTTACTATCCAGAACCACCAGTGAACCTACACGAGTCTTCTGAGTGTATTTGGAATGTTGATGATGGAAAATAGTGGAAAATCTGAAATAATAAGTTTTGTTGGGGGATTATTGATGAGATACAGAGGTACAGTTTGTCCTGAGGTCTGCTGGATTGCCAGATTTCAGCAGTGGCAGAACCAAACAGTTTAGAATGTGCAATATGTCTTTTTCTACACGCACCATTCTATCTTTTCTGGTGTTTTCCCCTCAACTATTGTCTGGTTTATTTCATTTATTTTTACATCTTCTTAATGTATTCAGTAATTTAAAAAAGGTAGTTTTTTTATGGGGAACATTTAAATGTTAAAATACATTTTCAACTGCTTCAACAAATGACAAATGGAAGACATGGGAGAGTGAGACTCAAGGACCAACTGGACAGCAGAGCTCCAAAACTGTACACCTGGCAACCCTAGACCCACCTAAATCTTGTGAGGTAAAATACGACATAATAAAAACAAGTCTATAGTAAATAAAACAGGACTAGACAGGTCCAGTTTTGCTGGGCTGCTGTCGGCTGCATGGTGTTTGTGTCTGGTTCATGACATCAAAACCCTTTGAATTATGTGCAGGACAGCAAGTGAAACTGCCTGCAGTGTCTGGTGATACCCACTTAGATATTTGCCACTTTTTGGGAATAAATACATACATTTTCATAATAACAGTACTACTTATGGTAATAAGATCCACTCTGAATGACCTCTCAACCATTTAAGCATGTAGAATTTTTGAAAAATCAGTGGAATTCCCCTTTCAGTTGTGCTGATTAGTTGTATCAGGTGTGTTGGAGCATTTTAAACACTAAAATATCCAGAAAAGCACCTAATTTTCTTTATCAACCAGCAAAATTCTGTGTATCTTTATAGAGTTTTTGCCGCTGTTCTGCTGTGTTGGTTCTTAAAGGCTCTAATTTTAGATAAGTAGTGTGATATTTTTGTGATTGATATTTTTGTGATTGTGCCTTTAAGAGGTTGTGTTTCTAGGTAGCATATTTGTCTCACTGAAACAGTTTAATTTGTAATGAGATTTTGTGAGTGTAGGTCAGAGCTGCTCAAACTGTGATACACAGCAATAAAAGAGACTTGGTTTGATTTGGCTGACAGAAAAGTTACCCTAAAGGTACCATCCCTCCATCCAATGACTGAAAAAACAGATTTTAATACTGTAAATTATTAAATTCTTATTTTCCTGTTGTGATTCTGTTTTTCATGCAAAAAAGACATTGACATCTGCAAATGTTTTGTGTTCCCTCACAATAATTGTGCATTTTTTAGCAAACGCAATGCGAAATGTTTCTGAGGGAATGGAAAAATTTTGCAAGCAAACACAAAACTAGTGCAAGTTGTTTGCGAGGGAGCGCAGTGCTTTTGCAAATATTTTTTTTTCACAATGCCACTTTGGCAGCTTGGCAGTTTTTTTAAGTAACAAAAATTTAAGTTTAGCAACAAAATATAGAGTAATGTTATACAAACTTCATACACTTTAAATTTTTCAACTGTCCTTTTGTGTATTGTTTTTGTCTTTTGGGCCCCCGACAACAAACATTACACTCTTTATCTTGGTTCCCAAGCCAACAAGTTTGGGCACCCCTGCTGTAGCTGTCCCTGATAGTGGACCTTTCTTGTTTAGTGTTGTTTATTGTTGACAGTGGTCCACTGGCATTTTGCTCAGCATTTTCTGGCCGTTTAAGCTGAGTATTAGACAAAATTGCACTTATTATTGCTTATTTTCCACTCACAGCTCAATTTACTGATTTTTCCGTCCTTCCTTTCTTCAGGTATACTTTGTAAATTAGTTTAGTAAATAATTTTACAAAATAACTTACAGTTACATGGAGTGGAATCACATTGATCACATTGATCACATTGATCGTTGACAACATTCGGGTGAGATTTAGATAACTTGGACCTTAGATCGATGAGCTCTGTAGGATCTTAAACTGTGCAGAAGTCTTGAATGAAATCACTTCTAAAATGTCGGATTGTTTTCAGTTTATTCTGCAAATAAACAACTGTTCTGCACGATTTCTAGGTCACTATTTAAACTGGAGCAGATGTGTGAAATTGAGCGTGTTGAGTTCTTTGTAGTAAAAGGTCAGATTTGTTTTTTAGTCTTATCTCGTCTATTGAAACTCAGGTTCACACGACTCTGATCTGCTCATCAGAGGCTTTTGTCACTGTTAGTGATGAGAGTCTGCGCCTGCTCGAGTGCAAAGGGGACAAACACTAAGAAACTGGAGTTCATGTTAAAATTTCCAAATTTATACTGTTCACTCAGATTGTTATGCTGATGAAAAAGGTTGTATTGAATTTGAGGAGAATGCAAAAGAGAAGCGTTTTGACTGGCGCTAATGTGTCGCTGTGTTTGTGCAGGTACACAGCTGGTTTGATGGACGATGCTCTGTGTCAGGGAGAGGACCTCCAGAGCAATCGGCCACTGCAGGCCTTAGTGGCCGGCCTCAAAGCCTACAGTACCTGGGCCAACGTGGCCTGCCTGCAGGAGTGTCGCGAGTGTACGGGGGGCATGGTGAGTGGGTCTGTGTGCACATGACACTCAGATAAACACACACTGTGCAGTTTTAAAGTTGATCTTCCACTCTAGTTGATAGCATTATGGCCTGGTCTGGGGTCAGACCTTAAAAGAATGGTGTGGTGAGGAATGTGTGCTTTGTGAATGTGTGCTTTGTATAATAATAAGGACAAAAAATGGCAAATCATTCTTAATAGCATATTCACAGTGTATTAAACAACTGTACAGTGCAATCACCAGTTTGTCTTCAGGTTTGGCCAAAACAACAGAAGAGGAGTGTATTTAAGGGCTGCCCAAATTGTGACACACAGGAATAAAAGAGACTTGGTTTGATTTGGCCCACCAGAAAGTCACCCCAGAGTTACCACCCTGCTATCCAATGACCAAAAAATAGATTTTAATACTATACATCACAAATTAAATTCCTATTTTTCCTTTTTAAATTCTGTTATTCAAGGAAAAAAGACGTTGCATTCTCTTACAAAGGTTTTGTGTTCCCTTGCAAATGCAATGCCAAACGTTTCCAAGGGAATGCAAAAATTTTGCAAGCGAACGCAAAACTAGTGCTAAATTGTTTGTGAGGAAGTTTTTGCAAATATTTTTTTTCACAATGCCAGTTTGGTAGCTCGGCGGTTTTTGAAGTATTTTAGCAACAAAATATAATATAATGTTATACAAACTTGATACACTTTAAATTTTTGAAATTTTCCTTTTGTATATTGTTTCGTCTTTTTGGCCTCCAACAACAAACATTACTCTCTTTGTCTTGGTTCCCAAGCCAAAAAGTTTGGGCACCCCTTTTTTTTTACAATGCCACTTTGGGGGCTCAGTAGTTTTGGAATATTTTAGCAACAAAATATAGAGTAATGTTATAAAAATTGTATAGAAAAGTGTGTGCTTTGTGAATGTGTGTGTGTGCTGTATAATAAAAAGTCCAAAACAGCTAATTTCTCTTAATACCAAATTCACAGTGTATTATACAGCTGTACAGTTTAATCACCAGATCGTCTTCCTGATTGTTGAACAGAACCCACAGTAACTCCAAGATAGGTGCTAACTAGTGTTAACCAAAACAAAAGGATAAACAACAGAATAAACAAAAGATAAACCGCTTACCTAACTCCCTGACTACTGACACTAAACACAGACAAAACCCCAAAACCCAAACAGAATGGCAGCCAAACCCTAAACCTGGTGAAGCTAATTACGGAATCTACAGTAACAGAATCTATGAACAGGATATCCAGCGATTTAACAGGGTTAAATAGGCCAAACTGAGGTCAAATCAAAGCAGCCAAAAGGCCAAACAGTCAGAATAAACAAACAGGTAAACAAGTGAGCAAAAACTGTCGAGGAGCCTGTTTTGTTCTTCGCGTCTGATGATGTCATAACCAGAACTTAACTGGAGTACGGACTGGAGTACGGACTGGAGTACGGACTGGAGCACGGACTGGAGCACGGACTGGAGCACGGACTGGAGTATGGACTGGAGCGAGTGGTGATGAGTTGAAAACATGGACTGGATCATGGAATGAGGCTACAACTGGGAAGACAGAACAGAGACAACACAGACAAAACAGCAGTAAAATATGGAGCGTAACAGCAGCAGCAGCCATCAGGAAGCTTTTGTGCTGTATATTTACTCAGCAGCTGAGTGAGTTCGGCAGAAGATTCATGCTGAAATTACAAGTAGTGTTTCGTCCCAGACTACCTTGTGAATGACGCACAATGCAGGGCAGCCAATCAGAACAGAGCTTATTTACATATATCAGTCTTAAATGTGCAGTAACAAAGCAGCCTGTTTATTTGTAAGGGATAAAAGTGAATTATGACTGTTTTTGTTACATAAAACCAGTCACAATAGACCTCAGGGGAAAAATATTTAACAAGAAAAATGTGTTATACATCCTCTTTAAAGCCACCCCAGCCAGCGCTCTGATTGGCTCCTTTTCCACAGGAGAGAGAGAGAGAAACCCCATCATTCTTTCCATCCGAACAGATGCAAACGTTTACTGATTATATACTGAGTATTTACTCTGATTATAAACCTGATTTTAAATTGTGGTTCCAGCTGTATGGCCTCAGCCGGACAGCCACTAGAGGGCAGCTCTCGCATATTGTTACATTAACAACCCTAGATAACCACCAAGGGTCATCTGTGGACATGATCTGTCCTTTTTCTCTCTTTAGGCTGTAAAATTTACCAACAAAGGTCTGTTTGATATAGTTGGTGCTCTTGCTTTCAGGCATAACACAATATTTGGGGTACAGTTGCATCAGCATTACATCTCCAAGCATGTTTCATGATGGCTTTTGCAGTTATTTGCAGTGTGCAGCATGAAAAGCAGGGCGAAACCACAAAAACTGCACCCCCAGAGTGAATTGAAGAGTGCGCCCTGCATCCTTTTAAACCCGTACCACTTTGACATTTAACTTTTCGGAGCCCTCACCACACTTTGCATGAAATAAAAGGAAGCACAGCTTTAGTAAGGTGACCTTTTTTGCCTGACACTATGTATTTTTATTGGTATAAAAAGGAAAGTGGGGGATATTCCTCTACTGTAGCAGAGCATTTTAATATTGAGAGCACAGAGTCGGCCTGTAATGATCACACAGTCTTAGTTGAGAGTTAATTGCCATGAAAATAATTGCGATTAACAATTAAATTGCCTTTTTTTTTGTATGCAGCTGTTAAAGTACAGGCCCAAAGTGTTCAAATTAGCTGATTAATTGTCTCGCATGATCATCGATACTTAATATCTCTCAACGGATGACAAATACAGCTCAGGCTCAAATAAACAAACGTCGCTCAGCGCCGCCCTCTAAAGGCGTCATTAACAACCATCAAATAAACAAACGTCGCTCACCGCCGCCCTCTAAAGACATTAATAAAAACATTGAATTAACAAATAATGCTAATCTCCTCTCTCTAATATGTTGTGATTTTAATGTATTGGGAAAGCTGACTACTATGGATGATAATCAGTCGATTGTGTAGTAATAGTTACAGGCCAGCACATGACATTGTCACCCCTGTCTTTTCTTTTGTTCAGGGCTTCATGATGGAGAACAGAATCCCTTCTCTGAAATGCGACTCAGACGTCTTTGTGACTTTTGAGGGCGACAACATGGTGATGCTCCAGGTAAGCGTGGCTTTCACTGAAACCAGGCTGCACCGCACTGACTCTAATTGTTGCTCTCTACACTGCAACCTTATAAGTGCATGAACAAAACCACCGCTTAATTTATCAACAAGCACTCGAGGAGGGAAAAAAAGAGAGAGAGAGCGCAAAGCTTCCATCACAAGGCTTGCGTGTCAAAGCCATTTTGCTCAAGGTTGTTATTTGTCATGTTTTCTCCCTTATTTTGGTGATAGCTGGCCATTTTTAGTGCAGTGTCACCCTGCGGTTACCCATGATCTCTTTGTGACCATAAAGAGGGAAAACCCACAAGACCTCCACTCTGAGGAGCGTTCTGACAAGCTGTAATTCCTCAATACGCCGTGTCCACCCCTCCCAACCTGCCCACCACAGCCCCCCACCACACACAGCCCCACACCCCACACACCGAGAATCGAATAAACGATCATGACGTTAAGAGGAGGCCGCAGGACCTTTAGGTGCGTCTTGCACGGTAGCAGAGTTTTTGAATAACTGCTGAGGGAGACACTTTTACTTCATGTTGCGCCTCTAAATAGCCTTCTGGAGGAGCGAGGAGGGCCGACACACAGACACACGCTCAGATGTTCAAAGACAAGGTCACTATTCACAGCCCGCCTGAAGACACACTGAACTTCTGCAATTAGATTACTGTCGTCCTCTCAGTAGTAAAATAAAGTCATTCTCTCTAATCCTGGGAAATAAACTCATAGCACGATCATATTAGAAAAGGCGGAGGACGTAAAAATTCCTCACAGTCTCAGTCTGATACGAGTGAGGGGAAACAATCGTGTATCAGTGCAGATGTTTCGAGATGGAGATTGAGGAACATTGAAGGTGAGGGGGCGTTTTCAGTGAAACGTGGAGTGTGTCACCTTCTCGGGAATCCCCCCGAAAGGGAAATGAACCGCTTTAATCATTCATGTGCATCTTATATTGCAGCTTTAGACTGATACCTTGATATTTTACTTCTAATATGATATTTTTCCATCACTTTGCCATCCCTTGTTGTCAGTGCAAAGCATTTCTCAAATAATATGTAATAAGTTCTTTCATATTTATATGAAATTCATGTTTTTTTTTTTTTGGTTTATACTTTTGGGTGAGGTTTAAGTGACTCTTATTAGCTGTAAAGCAATAGAACTCCAGAACTTGATGCTAACTAAAACTTAATAAATACACCGCAATTAGACAATAAGAATTTAGGTGATTAAATCATGCTCAGTAATTTGGATAATTACTGATAAATTATTGTGTTTAATGTGCATTATTACAACTGATAATGCAATTTTAGTGCTTTTCACATAACAGACCTCCAGTGTACTAATACAGGTCTTATTTTGGTGCATAAGCTATTTAGAAGAGTCTAATTTGAGCTTTAATTAAGGTAGTTCTGCTGATTATTCACAGTTTTTGCGTAATTCAGAGATTTGAATGTGTAATTGAGATATACACAAAGATTCAGAGTCAGATGTCTTTACAGTGGTGGTGAAAGGAACCAGGGGTCGCCATGACTACAACACAAATTTGACATTTTATTTACTATGCAAAACCACCAGTGAACCTACACAAGTCTTCTCTGTAAGTTTCTCTAGAACAGAGTGATTCACACCAAACCACACTGAATGACTCGTTTACATCTTAACCACTGAATTATGTACAACCCCATTTCCAAAGAAGTTGGGACGCTGTGCAAAATGTAAATAAAAACAAAATGCCATGATGTGCAAATCATCTAAACCCTATATTTAATTTAAAATAGTACAAAGACAACATATCAAATGTTGAAACTGAGAAATTTAATTGTTTTTTGAAAAATATTTGCCCATTTTGAATTTGATGCCAACAACACGTTCTAAAAAAGTTGTGACGGGGGCAGAATATCATTAAAAGATTCAGAGAATCCGGAGAAATCTCTGTATGTAAGGGACAAGGCCAAAAACCAGTATATGCTGGCCGTGATCTTTGGGCCCTCAGGCAGCACTGCATTAAAAACAGACATGATTCTGTAGTGGAAATCACTGCATGGGCTCAGAAACACTTCTGAAAACCACTGTCTGTGAAAACAGTTCATCACTGCATCCACAAATGCAAGTTAAAACTCTAAAATGCAAAGACGAAACCAAATATAAACAGGATCCAGAAATGCTGCCACCTTCTCTGGGCCTGAGCTCATTTAAAATGGACTGAAGGAAAATGGAAAAGTGTTCGATGAATCAACATTTGAAATTCTTAAAGACCACTCAGCTTGTTATCAGTGCACAGTTCAAAAGCCAGTATTCATGATGGTATATCCCAACTTTTTTAGAATGTGTTGTTGGCATCAAATTCAAAATGGGCATATATTTTTCAAAAAACAATAAAATGTCTCGGTTTCAACATTTGATATGTTGTCTTTGTAGTATTTTCCTGTAAAAATATGATTTACATGATTTGCATATCATTGCATCCTGTTTTTATGTACTTTCTGCACAGCGTCCCAACTTTTTTGGAAATGGGGTTGTAGAAATGTTGAAAAATTAGTGGAGTTCCCCTTTTAAGGGTACACTGATAATTACTGTCATGCCCATATTCAACCATTTCAGCACAGTTTATTTGGGAACACTGTTATTTGATTAAGTTCTGGAGCAATTTGAAAAGGAGTTTTGGAGCAGCGTGTAAGGTTAAATTAGGTCATGTGGTAAAAAATGGTCAGGAGGGTCTTAGGGGTTTAATTTCGAACCAGAGTCACAAGGGCACCAAGGGGTTCTGCCAGAGACTCAACCTACTCTCTGTCTCTCGTTCTTGCTTTCCCACTCGCTTTCTCTCTTTGTCTCGTGTGTGTGTTTATGTGAGGTTGTAATGGGGGATTTCTTTGATTTTGGTCATATGATCTTATTATGAGTGGAATCAGAGTCTCACCCAGGGGGCATTGCTGTCACCTGTCATGAGGGGAGAATTAGTTTTCAGCTCCTTGTGCTAAAAAATGAGTATCACAGTGTTCTGTCCTGTGCAGAAGTCAGAGACCGCCTTTATTTAATTTAACTTAATTTAAGGAGATTGGATATAAGATAATCCACTTGAATAAAAGTTAAAGGAAAATAAGTGAAAAAACAGGTAAACTGGAGCTCCAGAAAAAATGTGGCTCCTAACAACCACCTGGAAGAACTGGTCGACCCCAAAACTGCCCCCATCAGATAAACAGCACTTAAAGCTTTCATCTCTGAGAGAGAGGAGAAAATCAAGCTGCTTCAGATCTGAAAACATCCACAGGTGTTTCTGTCCATCCTTCCACTGTGAGAAGACGACTCAGCGCTGTGGGTCTGAAAGGATGTGTAGCTGATCAAGAAGAACCTCACTGAGAAAAGGAGACGGACACACCAAACAAAGAAGCTGAACGATGGACTGACCACCCCAGAGTCCAGACCTCAACGTCACTCAACAGACACATTGTTTGCTGGGTGAAGCTGATCTACCCATCAGATGGAAATATTTAGCTGCAGAAAAATAAAAAAAATGATGTGGGGCTGAATCTAAAGATAGGGGGGCAGTCGTGGGCTGGAGGTCAGGGAACCAGCCTTGTGACTGGAAGATCTCCGGTTTAATCCCCTGAGCCGACAGTACGTGACTGAAGTGCCCTTGAGCAAGACACCTAACCCCCAACTGCTCCCTAGGCGCTGTGGATAGGGCTGCCCACTGCTCCGGGCAAGTGTGCTCACTGCCCCCTAGTGTGTGTGTGTGTTCACTAGTATGTATGTGGTGTTTCACTGCACAGATGGGTCAAATGCAGAGGTGAAATTTCCCTGTTGTGGGACTAATAAGGGTCACTTAACTTAAATTATGAATATATGATGGGTCGTATGAAGGTATCTCGGGCCTGTACTGTAATGTAGGCAGCCTACATTGAATAAACAAACATTGCCAAACTTCAGATTGATAAATAATATAGATGTGCATTTTTAAATATTCTGTCAAATATTATTTCTAATATTCTGAAAAGGAACGTGCCAGAGACATTTCACTTTAATGATTAAATGATTTTTTTATCTTGTCCTTATTTATTATTATTTTTATCAATATTTTTATTCTAAATTAAATGTATAAATAATTAAATATTTTATATAAATATTAAATATTTATACAAATGTAAAAAATAAACATTTATTTAATAAATCTGAAATTTAAGAAATCATAAAAGTCCCAGTTGTTCTAATTGCTTTTCCGTTTTCAAACATTTCATTTATCAAATATGTCGTATTTTATTGAATATTTGCAGCCATTCTGCAGCTGTTGAACCCTTAACACATACAACCAGCTGTTACAGAAGAAAGTGGGTTCAGTCTGGCCAGAAGTTGAGATAATCAGGCAATAGAGGACTCAGCAGTCTGTTAGATATAATCAGCACATGTTTAAAGGAGGCAGTTTCATAGTGTGTTAGCAGTTGGAGGACAGTGTGATGTAAATAGTGCTTTTATATTGTTACCTGTGCACCAGTCTGGAGATTTCTGACCTCAAACAGTCTCACTATAATAACGCAAAATATACTGACTTTGTAAATGACTTTGTTTGCTGCCAGTCGTGTGCCGAACCTTAGGCTGGACAAGGGTGAACTGAGGCCTTTGTGTCTTTTCCATTTATATTTTAAGTGCTTTCTGAAGAGTTCCATTACCCCTGACCTAAAAAAGAAGAAAAAAAAACAAACCCACTTTTCACATCACACATTCAGAGCCTTTGGTTAGGAGGCCTAGCTGACGGGCAGTGACTCTTTTTTTTTCCCCACAAAAATAATCAGAGTTATGAGTTGCAGTCTGACTGTTTATTTGCTCTGTTTTTTGGATTTGTAGAAGCTACTGTTTATTAACAAATCTCTTTGTTAACTTCCTAATCATTTACAAACTTTTTTGGATATCACTTTATTAGTATAAGTACAATAACCTTTAAAAAAAGGAATTTGTCGTGCTGGAACTGGTAGATTTCCATCTTGTGTTGATTTTCTACGTGTAAAT